GTGGTGGAATCTCCATCCTTAGAGGTTTTTCAGGTCCGGCTTGACAAAGCCCTGGCTGGGATGATTTAGTTGGGGTTGGTCCTGCTTTGAGCAGGGGGGTTAGACTAGATGACCTCCTGAGGTCTCTTCCAACCCTGATATTCTATGATTCTATGATGCTGCTACAGCCTCTCCTAAGTGCATGGCAAACCCACTGACACTTGACTCCCAAGTCCACGGGCCCTGCGTCAGAACTGTGCTTGGCTGCAGCCTGGGGGCAAGAGGGAGTGCACAGGGAACAGGTAGCTACATGGCACCTTTTTATTGGCCCCTGGATGCTTAAGGTGGCTGGGAGTCGTCCTCATCCCTCTCCCCGATGTAAACGGCAGCATCTCCAAAGCCAGCTCTGTCTGCCAACGATTGTCCCCAGCACAGCCCAGAGCAGCTGCAGAGCAGTGTGCTCTCGGCCTCCCCTGAAGCGCCCCCATGGCAGAGATTCAAGGGGAGGTGCACTGACATGGCTGTGTGGGGGTCCAGGACTGCAGTGTCTCGGGGGACTGCAGACCAGGGTTGAGGTGCATTAACAGGGCTGGGTGAGGGCTCTAGTACTGAAGTAATGGGGTGCTGCAGATCTGGTGCATTGACAGAGCGGGAGGATGTGTTTGTGGGGAGCATGGGGGGCTGTTTCTGGACTACAATAGCAGGGCTGTTGGGGGGCAGAGTGCACTGGCACATGCTCTGCCTTTGCCTCTGGATCTCCAGCCTATCTCATCCATCCCACACTTCCACAGCAGGACTAAAACCAACCAAAACAAACTGCAAAGCCCCTGGAAGGCGGGGGTCTCCTGAGCACCTTACCCCTCCCCTTCCCATGGGCGTTGCCGACTTCCTAGGAGGAGAGCTGAGGTCTCAGCAAGGACAATACAATAGAATCTCAGAGTTAAGAACACCTCGGGAATGGAGGTTGTTTGTAACTCTGAAATGTTTCTAACTCTGAACAAAACATTATGGTTCTTTCAAACGTTTACAATTGAGCATTGACTTAATACAGCTTTTACTCCTGGGGGCATTCTGTGCCAAAAAATGAAAATTCTGTGCACAATATTTTAAAATTTTGCAAAATTCTGCAAATTTTATTTGTCAAAATAACACTACATAATCACACCAGTTTCAATTATTTTGGTAATTTATTTCAAAATATTTGTCAGCAACTATGTCTGTAACAATACAGATGCACACAAAATTTCCCCCAGGAGTAGACAGTTAAAGAAACCCCTATTACTACCCAGTTCCTGTTTCTCTGCCCCCTTCGCACCCCCCCTCCCAGCCCAGCCATGGTGCCCCCCCAGCCAATACTCCCAAACCTCCTTTCCCCCCAGAGCCCAGCCACAGGGACCCCCCTTGCCCAGACTCCTGCCCCCACCCCCGTTCCCCCAAAGCAAAGGGATCCAGAGGGGGAGACAGCCTGATGCTTGATCCCAGGCTTGTATGGCGTTTCCTGTGCACTGCCCTCTCCTTCCCTCAGGGCATGCTGGGAATTGCGACTGCCAGGAACCCTCTTGCTCCTTTCCCCTCCCCCCAGCAGTGTCTTCTATGTGTGAGCTGGGCTATGCCAGGTCCAGCGTCCCCTAGTGGTGGCCTGCAGCACGTTTCTGTGGGGGGAAAGGAAATTCTGCGTGCACAACGTTAATTTCTGCAAAATTCTGCATTGCGCAGTGGCGCAGAATTCCCCTAGAAGTAAGCTTTGAAACTTTACTATGCAGAAGAAAAATGCTGCTTTTAACCAGCTTAATTTAAATGAAACAAGCACAGAAACGGCTTCCTTACTTTGTTAAACATTTTTTTAAAACTTTCCCTTTATTTTTTTCATAGTTTCTATTTAACACAATACTGTTGTATTTACTTTTTGTGTGTGTGTCTCTGCTGCTGCCTGATTGCTTACTTCCGGTTCCAAATGAGGCGTGTGTCTGACCGTTCAGTTCGTAACTCTGGTGTTTGTAACTCTGAGGTTCTACTACTATGGTCCCCAGACTGTGGGGTGTGCCCCCCTAGGGGGGTGAAGAGGAACATTTGTGAGGGGGGCACAATGGGACCTGGGCCAGCCCCCATGGGGGGTGGGGAGGGAGTCCCTCCCAGCCCTGCTCTGTCCCCATCTCTGCTCCGGCCCAGTCTCAGCGATAGCTCTGGCCCCAGCTTTTTCGGCCACTGGCTCCTGGCCCCACTCGCAGCCATGGTTCCAGCTGCAGCTTTGGCCCCAGCCCTGGCTCGCGGCTCCTGGCCTCGGCCCCCAGCCCTAGCTCCAGACCTAGTCTCCTGGGTGGGCATGACTGGGTAAGGGGAGGTGTGACCAAAAAAATTTGGGGACCACTGTTCTATTTTAATTTCCCCAAATTACCCAGCATACTTTGCTTGATGTTATATGTAATTTATCTCCCCTAGTCCCCATGTGGCACTAAAATCCCTGTTGATCTAATTAAAGCAAACCAAGGCATCCAGCAGGGCGGCAGTGAAGGATGACTGGAGGAGAGACCATCGGGCTCAGGCAATGGGACAGGCTGCTTGTGTTGCTAAAAGTGTGGGGGCATTGTCTAACCCAGGAAATGAGGGCCAGAGGCGCAGGGTGGTAGGAAAATGAAGTGCTCAGGTCTTCCCCAGCAGGGCGAGTTTAGGGCTCAAGCCGGGCAGGATGAAGGATTTGTGGGAGGGCTAGTGACATGATTATTTCTGGGCTGGCCTCTCAAACCATCCCAGGATCATTTAACTGAGGGTATGTGGGAGGCTATGGGCAGCGACCAGCGCCCTCTGCAGGAGAAGTGGATCCTAGCAGCTGTGCTACAGCCTGTACCCTTTGCCATCCTTTGGACTGTAAGCCAGTCAGGGTAGCCACCAGCCGGTTTATATATGCTGTACAGCACCTAGCGCAGTGAGGCCTTGAACCCTAGCTCTAGGATGCTATCACAATGTACGTTATTTCAGTGGGCTATTCAATTTCAGGGCAGGGCTGGGGACTGCTGGGCCCCACCGGCTGCAGGGCTGTGCGCGATCTGGGGCTTGCCATGTTCTCTTTCAGCTGTAGAGTCGAGAGTTGCCAGCAGTGTCAATGGGACAAAGGTCTTGGGGTCCCCATGCTCATTTCAGGGCTGTTTGGTCTCTTCTTCTGCCCTTCATGTCCTCCGCACTGCTTCGTGCTCTGCTGTCCATCCTGCATGGCCACTGCAGAGGAACACTGGAGAACTGTGTATGTCCAGGTAGGGGGTTGCCTTGTGGGGGAGGGGAGGAGAGCCTGCCTTTTAATGCAAACTCTGCCAGTGACTTTGTGGGCTCCCCTAGCAGCACTTAAAGGGCTGGGTCCTGTGGCAGGGAGAGGGAGGCTGAGCTTCCTCCCCTGCCCTTGGCTTCAGCACCCCCCAGGGTCTGGCCCAAAGAGAAGGGGAAAGCATTATGGGTCTACCAAAGCCTTTAAAGGGCAACGATCCTTTTTGCTCCCCTCCTGGCCTCTCCCCACCTCCATCGCTCCCGCTGCCCTCACTGTTCTGCCTCACGTTCCCATGCTATCTCAGCCCCTGCACCCTAGAGCCGAGCAGGGCTGCCAGCCCTTGCTCTGAGCCTGCTTAGCCCTTCTCAGCCTTGCCAGCCCCACATATTCACAAATCTTGAGTTGGGCCCCCTAAAAATAATGGGAGTGGCTTAAAAATCCCAATTTTGACCAATAACAGCCTATTTCTGGCTCTCTGAGCCTTCGGGGGTCTCACTTTCTGGCTTGTCTCTGCCAGAAATGGACTCTTTAAAAAAAAAATGGGAAGAATTTTTTTTAAACTTTCCCTTTATTTTTTTTGTAGTTTCTAGTACGTAGTTATTAGTTTTGTAGTTTCGAGATTCTGCTGTATTCGTTTGACTCCAGGAGTTGGGGCAAGCCACCGACAGCACGAGGCTCATGAGAATTGGCTGCCCTGCCTCCTGGAGGAGAGACCTCTGACTCCACCCGTGGGTCCTGGCTCTGTGGGGGTAGGCTGTGAAAAGTGGTGCCCAGAGACTGAAAGAGAGGAGAAGGAATGGGAGGAGGAGAGCAATACGTAATTATAAAAGCCCCCCATGGCATATAACACGTATGGAGGGTTCCCGTGTGCCAGCCGAGGTCTTGTGACTCTTCTCGCCCTTGGGCTGCTCCGAAGCTGGCTGGAGTCTGTCCCATTGCACGTGTTCCAATGGGAATGAAGCCAGACAAGCCTGGCCTCTTTGAAGCATGTGGGCGAGAGAGGCAGTGTGTTCATCACTGGTAACAGTGGCCGTTGCTGGGGGCAGGATTATTTGCATTCTGGTAGCATGTAACGGCCCAGTTGAGGTTGGGGCCCTTTGGCTGGGCACCGTACGCACGCCTCAGGAGAGACTGCCCCTGCCCCAGACAAGACAAGGGCTGTTTATTCCCAAAGCACAGAGATCAACTGACCTTCCCAGGGCTGTGCCAGGAGTCGGTGGCAGCAGGTAATAGAGTGCAGCTCTCCGGAATCCCAGGCCAGTGCTTGACCCACACAGCCATCTCGGGTTGTTGGACTGAGCATGGCAGGAGGTGGGATCCTGAGCTGGATGCACTCACACTCTGAGCTAGTGCAGCCGCGGGGGGAAATACTGGATTAGGAGAACCAATGGCCAGACAGTGGGCAACTGGGCTGTATGGGCCGATGGCCTGTCTGAGCCGATGCAGGAGGCAAACCAAGTTTGACCCCTCCAAGAAGGAAGAGTGCTAGAAAGTCCATTATGTGCACTAGGGACCTTGCTATTGCTGTTGTATGTGGAAGGTGCTCAGATGCCACGGTGATGGGCAGCAGTGTAAAGCCCTCAGAGAGATAGGTAGTGGCAGGACACAGGCCGAGGCGGGTCTCTGGCTGAGCTGATGTGCCGACTCTTCTGTGCCGGTGGGGCTGAGCTCAGCCCTGCCTTCAGCTCTGTTCCTGGTGGGCCCAACCCGGAGTCCCTGCTGTCCACGGCAGTTCATGCTGATTGTTGTGTCTCTTTCTTTTCAGCTCAGGGCAGCTCCTGCCGAGAGGGAAGATTCCCTTTGCCAAGGACACACGGGGCCTTGCTCTCCCCTCCCCGCCGCCCCCCACTGACGCTCTGGGATCTCGCCCTGCAGCACAGATGCCCTGCCCATTGCTCATCCTGGGCCTACTGGTGCTCGCTCCAGCCGGTGAGTGAGGCTGGGAAGTGTGGGGCTCTTCAGGATGGGAGGTGGGACACTATGATGGTCCAATGCCCCAAGTGAGACCTTTGGCCTGAGTTACAATCCCCACAGGCTGCCGTAGGCCCAGGTCCCATTCCCATTGGGGTCAGTGGGGGCTGTGACTTGGTGAGGAACAGGATCGGGCCCTTTCTCCGTGATGCCAACTCCTGGGATGTGTGGTGTGAGGGTCGGGATTTCAGAGAGGGCTGGAGCTCATCTGGCAATGACGTGAGACCCTCCCACCCGGCTCTTCTCTCCCCTCTGCTCCTGGCCCTCACAGGGGAGTAGGAAGGAGCAAAGAGCCCAGCAGCTCAGTGCGGCTTTGCTCCCTCCTCTCCTGTGAGCACGAGGGGCAGAAAGGTTCCTCTCCCTGCCCCTCTTCCCCCTGCTTCTTCCCTGCAGCATCCAGTCTGGGAAGGAGCAGAGGGCAGGTGAAGAGCCTCTGGAGCTACCCCCCTCCCCCCCAGCCTGGAAGGACCATTCTGCAGCCCTCCCAGGGTTGGGAGAGGGATGGAGACCCCCAGGAGGAGCAGAGGTGAGGCTGGAGGGGGCAGAATGAATGGTGGGGATAGGATTAATTGTTGGGCAGGGGACGGGCAAATGTGGGGTGAGAACTCCAGCAGTAGGGGCCAGATCACCTCCTGTAATACACTACTTGTCACCCACGTGCTGGGTGTGGGCAGGGGAGTTGGCCATCAACAGATGGACTGATGAACCACAATAGAGTCTTTGGACCTGCAATTGATCCTATGGGAATCTCTGAGAACAGATGTTCTCATGACACTTCCCAGATCTGCAGGTTTCAGCTGGGCTGTCAGGAGAATGGTCTTTCTGGCTGCATTTCAGTTGCTTCCACTCCTGGCTGAAACCTCAACACGACATAGTGTTTGTTTCCCACTTTGGGTGTAAACTCAGGTAGGTTTTGACTTCTCTAGAGTCATAGAACCTGGCAGTGGTTCTTGGGAGGGGCATGCTGGGTGGGCGGGAGATGTTCTGGCAGCAAAGGGCAGAGGCAGGCATGGTGCTGGTGGGGGAAGCGTGCTCACTAGCAGCCCTTGCTACACCATTGGGAAAGAGGTCGCTTGGTTTCCCCCTGCACCCACTGCAGGGCAGGACCAGAGCTATGGTCCAGTATTGCTGGTAGCACTAGTGGCCTCCGTGCTTGTGTTCACAGGAGCTTCTGCAGCCGTCTCATGGCTGGCCCCTGTGCAGCAATGTCGGCAAAGGTGAATTCTCCAACAGTGGGGCAGCCCTATCAAATCCAGAGGCGGAGCAGCCCCATTAGGTCATATAGTCCCGCATTCTGCCAATGCCATAGGGGATCGAAAGACGGATCTTGTGTGGCAGGGAGACCAGTTGAATTCAGATGGTTTCGTTTGTCCCACCTCCAAGTCCTGGAGGAGCTGTCTAATTGGTGATGCACCATGGAAGCGTGGGGCTGGGGGAAGAGGCTCCAGCGGTGTGACTCTTGTCCAGCTTGGGGGCTTGGAGCCAGGCTGATTTGTGCCTCTGCAATGGGTGTTCCCAGCAGGCTTAGCAGGACAGGGCTAAGTGTGGGAAGTTGTAGCCCTGGTCGAATAGTGCAAATGGAGCAGTGGGGGAGCAGGGGTGACGGCTGGGTTGGGAACGGGTTGCAATGGCAGATCAGAGGGCAGGGGAGGAGGAGAGGACCAGAACAGCAGGGGGCACTGGACAGTACTGAACCATCTAGCACAGGGGAGGGCAAACTACGGCCCGCAGGCCAGATACGGCCTGTCCTGGCCCCGCGCCGCTCCCGGAAGCGGCTGGCACCATGTCCCTGCGGCCCCTGGGAGGGGAGGGGGGCAGAGGGCTCCGTGTGCTGCTCTCGCCTGTGGGCACTGGCCCCCCACAGCTCCCATTGGTCAAGAACAGGGAACCGCGGCCAATGGGAGCTTTGGGGGTGGGACCCACAGGCAAGGGCAGCACACGGCGGAGCTGCCTGCCCCACCCCACCCCCAGGAGCCACTGCCGGACATGCTGGCCCCTTCTGGAGGCGGCGCGGGGCCAGAGCAGACAGGTATCCCCCACCCCAACCCCCTGCCCTGATCCCCCTAACACCCGGCCCTGAGCCCCCTCCTGCACTCCGCAGCCCCTCCTGCACCACACCCCCCTGCCCTGAGCCCCTTCCTGCACACTGGACCCCCTCCCACACCCCTCACTCCCTCCTGTATCCCAACCCCCTGCCCAAGCCCTACATTCATGGCCTTGCATACAATTTTTCCACCCAGATGTGGCCCTTGGGCCAAAAAATTTGCCCACCCCAATGATCTAGCAGGTCCTGTTTTCCCAAACTTGATTTAAAGGCTAGCACAGATGGCATCCAGAGAGGAAGAGACAGGCAGGTGAAGTAGGGTCATTCCCTGACGTGGCTGGAGGTTTGATAAAGTCAAACCTCTGGCTCCATCTAGTGTCTGAGAAGGAGTCACACACATCTTCCACTGGGCTTTATTCCAGCTTGCAAGTACTGATGTGGCTGCTGCACAGTACCTGTTAATTGCCTGACACCTGTGGCAGCTGCAGGATGGTAGGAGTCCAGAGTGGTGTCGCGCCCTCCCCACCCCCCACCCCTTCCAGAGCTGGGATAATTTTCAGATTTTGTTTTTTCTTGAAACATCTAAACCACTGTGTTCCCCTTGCATGAGTTAGTCCATTATTTTTCCTCCTTTTAAAATATTTTGCTCCCTCTCTTTTTTCCTCTAACATCTCTCTCCCAGGGCATGTTTACACTACAAAATTAAGTCGGCCTAAGTTACATCGATATATAGTAATTAAATTGCTTTTGCATGTCCACACCACATTTCTTGTGTCGGTGGTGTGTGTCCTCATTAGCAGTGCTTGCATCGATGCAGAGAGCAGTGCACCATGGGTAGCTATCCCTATGGGCGGCATGTGAACTGCTGGCTGGGGGAGGCTAGCCCCAGCCCTGCCCCTTCTGTCAGAGGCCCCTCCCTTTCTGCCCCCCAACTGAGCCCAGAGGCCCCCCACCGTGGCCTCCAGCCCAGAAACCCCCCACCGCGTCCTGTGTCTCCAGCTCCCTCGAAGTATCCAAGGGGAGCTTGGGGTCGCTGCTGAGGATGGCATGCAGCTTCTTATAGAAGCGGCATGTCTGCAGCTCTGCACCAGAGTGACTGCCTCCCTTGCCTTCTGGTATGCCTGCCACAGCTCCTTGGCTTTCACACAACGCTGCTGTGGGTCCCTGTTGTAGTCCTTTTCCCCTGGGCGATCTGCTTGTTATATGTCACCATTTCTACTGCTGGATTGGAGCTGTGCCAGCACAGCCTCTTCTCCCCACAGACCCAGGAGATCCCCCTGCTCCTATGTAGCCCAGGCAGGAGCATGTTTGCTGCATGGAGCCAGCAGGGTCAGCTGGGCGGTTGCTATGTGAACTCTCCATGCTGACCAAACAGGAAATGGAATTTCAAAAATGTGTGGGGCTTTAAAGGGGGAGGGGCATGTTCCTGCGTACCTGGCAGCTGGGCAGCAGAGTTCGAAACAGTGACCAGTGTGGGGCATTGCGGGAACCTGTTGGAGGCCACTAAAGTCGACATGAGTAACGCAGTGTCTACACCGATGCTGCGTCGACCTAACTATGTCGACCTAAACGTGACTCCTCTCGTGGAGGTGGAGTTATTAAGTTGGAGTAGTGGGTGAGTTACATCGGCGGGAGTGACATTGTAGCATAGATGCTTCCAGAGTTAGGTTGATGTAAGCTGCCTTATGCTGACCTACCTCTGGAGTGTAGATCAGGCCTCATTCACGTATGGATATTTTCTAAATCCCCCTTTCTCCCCATCTCTCTGTTTTCTGTCAATCCATATTTGAAACGGGGATATTGGTAAAAGCTGTGCTGGCAGAGCTGTGTGCGGTGGGCAAGTGCCATTTGTGCAGGCTCACCCTGCCCCTGTGCTGGGCAGGAGGCCAGAGAAAGGCAGCTGGGAGAATTGCAGAGGCAGGGAATGGTTGCACCTGTGGAGCTGGTTGAAGTAGATGGGCATCTAACTCAAACCCCACAAGACGGGAAACTGGCAGAGCGATGAAATGTACAAAATTGGATTCATCCTGAGGCAGTACGGCCAGGGCCATTAGAGCCAGATTCAGAACGACTCCTTCCTGTGGGGACACACACACAGGGCTGTGTCATCGTCTGTTGTTTAAATGAGATCTTGGGAGGGGAAAGAGATCCACAGGGAACAGACGGGAAATGTCACGTTGGTTCTGGAACGGTGGTAATGGAGTTGAAAAGAACAATGTGTGTTCCTCCAGAATCAGGTTACTGCTTTAGGGCAAAGCATAGAGCGAGCATGCGTGCGTGTGTACACATGCACGTTCATGCACCCTTCAGTGAGAGAACATGGGTCATTGAGAATGTTCCCCTAAATGCCCAAAGACAGCTGGTGCCTAAGGAGTGTGCTGGCACTTGGGAGATATGGACTCTCCTTTCAGCTCTGCCATTGACCTGCTGGGTGACCATGGACAAGTCATAGCCCTGCTCTGTGTCTCAGTTTCCCCTCCCACCCTTTGTCTCTTGTTTCTTTAGCTTGTAAGCCCGTTGGGGCAGGGACTGTCTCGCTATGTGATTGTACAGCGCCTAGCACAATGGGGCCCTGATCTCAGCTGGAGCCACTGGGCACTGGTGGAATATCAATAATAATGTTTTGGGGCCGATACCTCTATCTTCACTTCAGCGATTGGTTTGAATCTTTGTCAGTATAACATCCGGTATAGCGTGCTAACATCAGCTTGCTCTCTAGATTCCTCTGACAGCAGAGACGCAGCCAAGGGTAAAATCTCTGCAGACTCTTTCCCTGCGAGCACCTTCCCGTTACAGCCAAGACAAGAGCCATGGGTATAAAAGGAGACCGCTGCCCTCGTTAATGATGCTGAGTTACTCTTTCAGGATGGCTGCGCACTGTTGCGATGAGAGACCTAGAAGGAAGAGGATTTTGACAGAGGATGGTTGTTTGCTGTAGGGCGTGCTGCTAGCAATATCGCAGAGCTGGCAGGAAGGCTGTGGGTTGACTTACAGGCACATTGCCCAGGCAGAAGTTACAGCCATGAATACCCTGCACCAATACAGAGCTGAGCTGAGCTGAGCAGAGTGTCCCTTCTAGGCTTGGGTAGCTGCTCTGTACCCTGCGATTCCCCTCGGGCGGCGCCATCCTTGGGTCTCTGCCATTGGAAGAGGGTTCAGTTAGTGGTGGTGGCCAGCTGAGGGCAGCAGTGCTGCAGATGTGGGGGATAGTGCCTATTCTGTGATGCCTGCTGAGACTGGCTCCTGCTGCGGCAGGCTGTGTTGGCTCAGCTCTGCCATGCCCTAACCCAAAGGGACTTGGTATGGATGCTGTGATTTAATGGGGCTTTCTCTGCAATCACACCGCTGTGAGCTGTATTCCTGTGAGCTCCCACAAGCTAAGCAGGGTTGGCTGGGTCATTTCTGGGATGGGAGACCTGCAAGCAAAACAGAGTGCTGCAGGACAGAGTGCTGGTGAATCAGTAGAGGGCATTCTTCCCTGAGAGCCAGCACTGGCCAGCAGTAGGGGGTGTTGTGCTGTTGGGTGAGAGCTCACATCCTGACCACTGTGATCATTAAGGATCAGAAGAAGAAGGGTTGTTAACCCGTAGTGTCCTGGCCAAATTCCAACTGTACAGTTTGCCTTCCTCAAATCCCTCTAGCAGTGCCAGCTGGGTTCAGAGTGCTCCTTTGCTTTCTGCCCTAAACTGCTATGTTCTGCTGCCAGGCAGCTGCTTTGTTCCTCCCCAGAGGTGGCCATAATGGTTGTGTCTGTATATGCAGCACTATCCTGCAAAACCCTGGTGTGGGGAGTGCCTGTTGACTCCATGTGCAGAGAAGGAAACGGAAAGGCACCTCAGTGCTTTGGCCCTGGGGGGTAAAGCCTGACCTCCCCAGAGGCCCCCTCCCAGTCTAGGGGAAGGGAAAGCTGGGCTGAGGTTACCCCCTCGTTGTCCAGGGGCCCTTTGCCTCTAGCCCTGGTTTGCATGGTGCTGTGGGCTGGGAGGGGTTGTGCCATGGCAGTGTTTTTAGAAATATCTCACTGTCATGTGCCTTTTTCTCTTCTCCCGCCAGGTTCAGTGGATATCCGGGTCCCCGATGACCCTGTGATCGCCATCTTTGGTCGGGACGCCGTCCTCCACTGCTCTTTCTCGCCTGATGCCAGCTTCAACCTCACCGAGCTCAGCCTCATCTGGCAGCTGACGGACACCAAGCGGTTGGTGCACAGCTTTGCCAGCGGGCAGGACCAGCTGGCTGACCAGGGCAGCGGCTATGTCAACCGCACGGCCCTCTTCTACGAGGAGCTGCCCCGGGGCAATGTCTCGCTGCTGCTGCGGCGGGTGCAGATCTCCGATGAGGGCAGCTTCACCTGCTTTGTCCGGGTCCATAGCTACAGCAGCGCGGCGGTGACGCTGCAGGTGGCCGGTGAGAGACGGGAGGAGGGGCTGGCTGTGGAGAGACACCTGGGCAGGACCCAGCCCCTCATGTCCCCTGGCAGAGCCATGCTCACCTGGGGCTTACCCCAGGTTTCCCCTGCAATCTAGTGTCTCATCCCCTCACCCTCTTCCCTCCCACAGCAGGTGCTGTCCTGCTCCCCGTAGTCTCCCTCCATCCCTTGCCCTGTTTTCCTCTGCAGTTCCTGTCTCTTTCCCCTCTTGCCTGACCCAGAGCCCAGCCATGGGTGGGTGGGGTCTGGGAGGGTTCTGGGTCCTGAGCTGGGTTTTGTGATTCTCTCTCTCTCTCAATAAGGGCTGAGCTTGAACCCCAAATCCAACCTCCCCAGCTCTGGGAAGGGTTAGACGTGGGGCTCCCAGCCACCCCCCACTTTCGCAATTTGGGCCCATCTCTACCCCCTCCCGCTGTACTCCCCTGCCCCGGGGATCCCCTCTCAGATGCTATGGGGACGGGAAGGATTTAAATTACCTGGTTAGCCTGTGTTCCCTCCTTCCCCTGGGGAATGCCAGCTGCTAGCCCCAGGAATCCATTGTGGGGCTCAGCTGAACAATTGCATCAAAATCCTGCAGCTGGCCCAGTGCAGTTAGCCTTCATGGTTAGAATATATGGAGATCTACCTATCTCATAGAGCTGGAAGGGACCCTGAAAGGCCATCGAGTCCAGCCCCCTGCCTTCACTAGCAGGATCAAGTACTGATTTTGCCCCAGATCCCTAAGTGGCCCCCTCAAGGATTGAGCTCACAACCCTGGGTTTAGTAGGCCAATGCTCAAACCACTGAGCTATCCCTCCCCACTTGGAGCATGCAAATTGCTGGCCCTGGCCTCTGATGTGCTAGATGCTGTTTGCTGTCCACAGAAACCCCCCTATGGGGAGGGGAAAGGGGGTACGTTCTTAGCCCCCAGGTCCCATTTGAGTGAATAGGTGTCACGTATATTGGGTGGGGGGTTAGATGCCATGAGCCCGACGGATGTCCAGCGAGAGGGTGCAGAGGGGCTGCACTTTGTGGGGTGTTTCTGCATAGCTCAGCGTTTTGCCTGGCGGGCTGTTAAGCTATCTGGGGCATCTGCAGCTCCCTCCCCCATCTCCAACTCCCTGGGTCATCTTCTCCATGGCCTCCCAGCAGAGAGCATTGTGGGAAAGTTGTCCCAGCATGCCCTTTGCTGTATTTCTGAGGCGCAGGGAAGGGGTGGGTTGGGAATGGTGGCCTGGGTCCCAGTGGTGTGATGACTGTAGGGTGAGAAGCCCATGGGGGAGGAAGGGGAAATGACCTTGCATTATTCATCAGCGCCCCCCTCTGGCCAGCTGGCTAACTTCCATTGCATCATACCGGCTCTCCTTTCCTTTTCAGCTTTGTATTCCAAGCCCAACTTGAACCTGGAGCCCAGCAAGAACCTGAAGCCAGGGGACCTGGTGATGGTGACCTGCCACACCTTCCGCGGCTACCCTGCGGCTACGGTGCTCTGGCAGGATGGCCAGGGCAACAACATCACGGAGAACGTCACCACGTCCCAGGTGGCCAACGAGGAAGGGCTCTTTGATGTGCAGAGCATCCTCCGTGTGGTGCTGGAGCCCAACAGCACCTACTCCTGCCTGGTGCGGAACTCCGTGCTGCAGCAGGAGACCCACGCCTCCGTTACCATCACTGGTGAGCCGAGCAGGATGTTATGGCAGGGATGGGCCTACTGCCCAAAGGCCCTGGGCATCCAGAACTCGGATCCTCAGGCTGGAGCTTTGGCCTCCCAGATAAAACCTAGAGAAGGGTGAAGGTGGTCCTGGAAAACGAGGACTGAGCGAAATCTTCCCCCTAGACGCCAGCCCAGCCTATCAAGGGGCCCGGAGCTTGCCTAGGCAGCAGTCTCCCTGCCTTTCCTTTGGCCTCTTGGCCTCTGCCTGGCCTCCATGCCGTGCTGCAGGAATCTGGCCCTCGCTGGCTGATGTGAGTCTCTCTGATGTGCCGCACTGCAGGGGGATCTTGGGCTGAGTCAAGAGGAGTCCATGGCAAATCATTCCACCAGCTGGACGCCTGCGTCCATAGAGGGGCAGGCTCTGGGCTGTGGGAGACGCCCCGCTTGGAATGTGCAGCCTGGGAGGAGCAGGGGGGCAAAGGTGGCTTCACATCGCCTGCACTCTGGGCTGCTGCAGGGACGGAAGCAACCTGCACCGTAACCTGGAGCAGCCCAAAGGGTTGGTCTTATGGCAGCCTCCCCTGCACTGCTCAGCAGCCCCAAATCCCCGTGTTTCCTCCTACCCCTGGCATGCCACCAACACTGGGGGCTGAGGAGCGTGGCAGTGTGGGGCTGTTTATGCTGGGAGTTCTCCCTTGCCCCTATACGCTGTGGGAGCAGCATATGGGGCCAGAATCTGGCTCCTAGTCTCCACTCTGTCTGCAGTCCTGCCAGCTGCTTGTATGACAGACCTCCAAAGGACCCTTGGGAGGGAGGGGATGTGATGTGCATGGTTTGGTAGGTGGGGCTCTTCTCTCTGAGTCAGCATAGAGCTAGTGCCCAGCATGGCACCAGGGGGCGCTATGCTGCCAGAGACTCAGTCCCAGCTGAAATGGAAATAGAGGTCCTGACTGCTTGAGATGATTAAAGATCATTTTAGTGAAGCCCCAGCATCTTGCATAGACCTCAACTCAGGCAGTTACATTCCACCAACCTAAATCACCTTGGTACGTTTCAATAGGGTAAGGTTTTTTTCACGTTTTTTCTTACACTGTTGTGCAGCTGTGAGCTGTTAAAGAGTTGGTGTGTTCCCCACAGAGCACACTGGGAGCCTTGTGGCTGTAAGATTACCGTTAAGTTCCACTAACATCCTAATAAGTAACTTCCCTGAGCAAATCCCTGCTATTCCTGGGCCACGAATATACCTGTAATTACAGTAATCCTTCCAACCAGGAGCCTACCGTTTTTCAGTGTAACTGGTGAAGTTCCTGGGTAGTTCCGTTCAGCTAATATGCTGACAGTTTGATTCCCACAGGCTGTCAGTGGCACCGCTGCATTGTTGATGGCTAATTGTTCAGTGCTGTTCCCTCCACTTGATGACAGAGCAAGGAGGAGGAGGGAGCTGCAAAAACAGATCATAAATATAAACAGGCCCAGTTTATTAAACACTGTTTATTGTACAGGAGGTTCTGCGTCGTAAGAACATCGTTCAACTTAGCCACTTCCCTCTGACAGTGTCTTGCTCTGCTGGCTCGATAAATAAGAATTGTCACAGCTGGGGCTGCCAAGGGAGCACAGTCAGGGCTCGCTCAAGGAGACTGGCAGCTGATAATGCCAAGGTTGCAGGCTAGTTCCCCATACAGGCCACCACTTGCAATGCCTGTACCCTGGGCAGGTTGTCTGCAGTGGGGATCACACCTGGGGTGTGGATGCTGGATCTTAAAGCGTGACCTTCTACTACTTGAGCCAAATCCCAGTTGTCAGCCTAGGCTGCAGCAGGCGTAACCTGTGTATGAGCCCAGCCCCTGCTAGAGGGGATAAGAGTGCCACAGTGAGTGGGCGAGCGGGTTACACATGCGCCACCCCCTCCACCCAGCTGGGTGAGACTGACTGGCTGCAAGACAGCCCATGGCAGAGCAGCTCTTCGTACTGCAGCGTGATGGGCACAGGCCAGGCCCAGGACACATGGAGCACAGACCATGACTGTGATCTTGTGAGCCTGAGGGACCTAAGGAGAGTGGCCACCGTCCACAGCCCTTAGTCGAAGGAGGCCTGGCAAAGGAGGCAGCAGTGCTGGGAGGGTTAGAGCCATCTGGGGCATGCGGGGTTCCTTGGTCGGCAGAGCTGTAACAGCCACACCTTCCCCCAGACCTCAGACCACGGGGCAGCACTAACCTTCCCCAGGGACTAGGGACCCCATCTGAAGAGGAGATTGGCAACAGTCCAACCAGATCCTCTGCTCCACCCGGGTCTCTATTGCCCAGCCAGTGGTTGTGCTGTGGCTCAGCCCTTTGCTGCCCTGAGACTCGATCGGCGCCCCTCAGCCCTCTCGCTGAAATTCACCCAGCACTACAGTCCTGCTGGCACCCCTTCCGGTCCCCTTTCCCCTTCAAACCACACAGTCCACCCATCTGGCTGCTGCTGGGGGACACGACTCCTGAGCAAACTGGGGCTTGGGGGTGCAATTTGTGTGGTGTACGTCAGCCTAGAGCGATGCGTCAGGGTGCTTTGGGGTGCAGATGGTGCTGGCTGCCCCGCTGTCCCCTGCCGTCCCTGAAGAGGGAGCAGGGCTCAACCCTGGCTCTGGGAGGGCGGAGGGGAACGTTCATGTGGCTTTGCTCTTCCACCTTCCTCCTGTTTTCTCTGAGGAATCTTGCTCCCCTTCTCCTGGACACCAGTCATGTTCCCCTGCTCTGTGTATGTGGTCAGCTCTCCTCCCCCTCTCATTAGTGCCTAGATAGTCAGACTCTGGGGGGATCAGGGATGTTCACGCTTCATTTTAAAGAGGAAAGCAAGGGGAACGGAGTGAATTTGGTCTGGGAGTAGCCAGGCATCCTGGGTTGGCTACTCGTCCTGGGTCATTTTCTGCCCTTTGTGTTCCTGCTCCATGATTGAACTACCCCAGCTGCTCCATTGGTAAAAGGGGTGCTTGAAATCTCTGCCCAGTGCTGGCCCCAGGCACAGCGGCTCCCATTGTATGCGGCGGGACCCAGGTGGGTCCCAGGCTTCGTTTCCTGGAAGCTGAGCTTGCAGGAGAAGTTCGACTTCTCAATAAAATACTTTATGGGCCTGTCTCGGTCGTGCAGGTGACTAGCTTGCAGCTGGGTTATAAAGGGCTTCCAATTGTCCTTGCTAGCTCTGCTTTTATAGCTGCCTTGGAGATCTTTATAACCTTGTACACTTACCGGTAACATTAATTTAGTGCTTAATTATCCTTGGAACAGCGCTTGCTGGGATGTGAAGGAGGGTCCCTGGTGGAGCATAAAGCTTTTGGCTGGATTCATGGTGCTCCTTCCAGCAAGCTGAGCACTGCTGTGCAGATGCTGGCTGGAGGCTGGAGGACCAGGATTTCTTCTGTACAGACACGGCTAGTGCTAGCCACTGCCACTAGAGGAATAGAGGTGGTGGGCTCGGGTGGCATCAAGGAACTGCATTCCCTGGGCCCCAGACCTCTGCTGAATGTCCCAGGGGAGTGCGTGGGGAGGGCAGTGACACGTGAGCACTAGACAACACTCCTTGCGGAGCGCTAATGGAATCTTGTCCAGCTGTGGTAAGCTGTGATTTCAGTGTACAGTGGAGTCGCATCATAGGCGCATTTAACTTACGCGATTTTAACTATATGCGCTCAGCAAAATGAAAAAAAAGAGAAAAATAACAATTTAAATACTGTACCTGTAGTGCGGGCGATTCCGCCCGCCATTCCACTCAATGAGCGTTTGACTATACGCGATTTTCGCCTTACGCGCTGACTTCAGAACCTAACCCCCGCATAAGATGCGACTCCCCTGTAGTTACACGGGTTGAGTGTGGGAGGGCTGGTCTACACTGGGGGGGGGGGATCGATCCAAGATACGCAACTTCAGCTACGCGAATAGCGTAGCTGAAGTCGAAGTATCTTGGATCGAATTACCTGGGGTCTACACGGCGCGGGATCGACGGCCGCGGCTCCCCCGTCGACTGCGCTATTGCCGCTCGCTCTGGTGGAGTTCCGGAGTCGACGGTGAGCGCGTTCAGGGATCGATATATCGCGCCTTAACGAGACGCGATATATCGATCCCGGATAAATCGATTGCTACCCGCCGGTACGGCGGGTAGTGAAGACGTACCGACTGTGATGTAACGCTGACTCAGATCCAGCATATGCCCTCTGCTGGAGAAGGGTGGACATGTACTGAAGAGCACTTGCTGAGACAGTCCTGTTTACTGAGTCCATAAGTCCCAAGCTGGAGTGCTATTGCCTCCTCTCAGCGCCAAACATACATCTGTGGTGTCTGGCTTCACTCTGGTATCTGAGTGTGGGTGGCCACATATCGTTCCATAGCCCCAGCCCGCCTCTTCTTGGCTTGGGTGGCAGAGCCTGCTAGGCGAAGGTCCCAGAATCCTGACCTGTGAAGATAAAGAGGTTGGATACAGACCCTTTGTCCTCCCCAGGGTCCTGCTCTATAGACTGTCCGAAGTGGATAAGCTTATTGCAGGGAACACCAGGTGGCGCTTTTATAGTCTGCCTTGGGAAGACATGCTGTGTTGTAGCTAGATTTTGGTGAGGCGAGATTCTGGGGACAGCCAGTGTCTTGTGAAGAGGGAGCTGCTTGAGCGTCAGAAGGGATTTTTGTGTGCCTTGAACTCTGAGAGTTAATTCCCGAGGCAGCATGGCCCTCTGGGAACCAAGCATTGGTGCTGAGCTGAGATTCTGAGGGGCTGATGTACAGGTAAATAAAAAAATTACACTTGGAATTTACCCAGATTTCACAGCACTGATTTCTCCTCTCCTGAGAAGCTGCAAGATCCTGGACTCCTGCTGCCTACCACTCAACTGAGGGCAATGCTGGGCTCAGAATGGAATATTTATAAGAAGAAAGGGCACCACTGGCTGTGAAGAACATGTATCTTCCCAGACTTTCAGCATTTCCTCTTAGAGCACTAAAGGAATGTGAGTGGATAGGACTATAACTGCCCCAGTTTTGCAATTTTCTATATGGGCTTGAACACAGCTGTTTATCCCTCTTTAATCCTCTCCCCACCCCCAGTAAGATTCGCAAACTCATTTCTCTTGAGCAAGGCCAAACTTCTAAAGCAAGTGTGCAGCTTGTCGGCCAACCCACTGCAGAGCTAGAAGGAGCCCCAAGGCTTGTCTCCTTTGAACCGAACTTCCCAGATGAAAGTTCTCCTGCGATAAGACAGGCCATGGCAAATCTCTGGGCTCATGAAGTTGTGGGTGGTGCTCTAATGGGGAGCAAGCTTCTATCTGCACTATGCAGAGACATCCCATTGACGCTGCTGTCCGGCCTGCCTGCTTATAGGGTTCCACCCTCAGACTGCTCAGCCCGTACCCTGGATTCTCTCTCCGCAGACCCTGGACAACAGAATTCAATGCCTGGAGAGAAAGCTTGGTTGGTGCATTCTCAGTAGAGCACACAGCAGTGGGCTGTGTAACTGACTCACTATTGAATCCATTGCAGTTCATCATGTGCAGCCCTCTTGAGGTTTCCCTTGGAAGTCGTGGTGCTTTCCTGCCACCTCCATGTGTTTGTCCAATGGGCAAAATAATGATATGGCATTTACTCCCCCACATCCTGTACCCAATGCCCAAGTCCAGGATTCTCTTCTCCTTCAGCAGGCTCCAGGGCAGGACTCTGGGATCAGAACTGTCCAGCGTTTTCTGTAGCTGGCTGGCAGCCCTTGCTCTGTGTCTCATGCATTTTGATGTGTGTGCTGTCATGCTGCTCTGGCATTGTACCCAACTTTTCTTTCTCCTCCCTCCCAGTGGAGCGAGCTTGCACCACAGAACTAATTGCTGGGCAAATTAGCATGTAAATGTAAACAACTCATTTGATCCAGTTTTGTTTCTTGGGCGAGAGGGGTGTATGTGTGTGTAGGGGAGGCGGGTGTTGGGTTTGCTTCAGGTTCTTAGTGGCAGCAGCAGGAGCAGCAGACTTTGCTGTGGCAGGACATATGTACATGTGTCCTATATACTCCACTCTCCTTTCTCCAGCAGCGGCCAGTGCCAGATACGTGCAAGCCACTGTAATTGACCTGCTTGTGCGATACCCTGCAGAGCCATGGGAAGAAATCCCTTCCTGATCCCTGCAGGCGACTGGCTGTTTCCCTGAAGCCTGAGGATTGAGGGGCCTTTTTGTTTTTAATCCCAGCTCGTGTAACCACAGGTACTCCTGTATTCTCATTCCTCAAACAAAATCCAGATCTCTTGTGACCAAAGCTACTCCTAATGATCAAGAAATTCGAAGACAAAATGGATGAAGAAAAGAATCTGCCTATTTATTTACTACTTGGCTGCCTCTGACAGATCCGCACCCAGGTCTGCATCTTCCTTTATTTAAAACAAACCCAGTGAGCTGTTTATTATTCAGGAGTAGCCCAAACACTTCCACTTTGTGTAACACCCCCACATTATGGGCTGCCAGCAGGCTTTGAACTTGGGACCCTTGGCACTAAAAGCACAGGCCTCTGTTACCTGAGTTAAAAGAAAAACTTCATTAGTTGGCACTAGCAGGCAGCTTTTTATCTTCTGTTTGGACCAGCTGCTAGAGGGAGCAGTCCGCTTAGCCAGCATATTACACTGGCTGTAGAATTGCTACAGTATTTGGGCCATTGCTGTACCATAACACAGTTCTAGCTCAATTCCTCCCTCCCCCCTGTAGATCTCGGTACCTGACCCATGTGTGTATGCCCCAGGTTAGTTTCCATGGCCAGACACCACCCCCAGCCTATGGGTGGCCCACTGAGGTGCATGCCAGGACGTGTGTGAGTACCTCTGAACCTGTGGTGGGAATGTGCCGTGCCTGCTTCTAGCACTGCTGGAGTTAGATTGCAGGGGAAGGATGAAGCAGCACCTGAGTCTACTCTCTGGACTCCTAACACGAGACAGATCAGCATCTGATTTGAATGTATTAGTATAATTTATTTAAAGGTTAATGAAGTGTTTTATGGAGCGACTCAACCGGCTGCTTTCCTGCCTTGCCTGCTGCATCCAGAACCATGGCGGAAAGTGGCAGTTAGAACATCCAAGGATCCAAGTGGCCTGAGAACACTACACGGTTGTACAGCTGCTGTTGAGATGACTGAGAGGCTGCAGCTGGACTAGTTTGACAAGCAGTCACCTGATGTACCACTAGCTAATCTAACTCTAAAGCCCCATCACCATGGGCACAAGGCCTAGGCACCCTGTAATAATACCTAGCTCTCACAAAGCCCTTTTCACCTGTAGGTCTTGAGGGAGGTGAGAATCCATTTTATAGATGAGGAAACTGAGGTACAGAGCGGTGAAGCCGAAGTTCAGGCAGCAGACCAGTGGCAGAACTGGGACTAGAACCCAACTTTCCTGAGTCCTAGTTGATACTCTATCCACTAGGCCATGCTGCCTTACTTAAAGCCCACTTCAGCCATATGGGATGGAGTGAGGAAATTAGCAGCTGGGAGAAGCATCTTTGCAGATAATTGCTGATGGGGAGGCACTTGTAGCATATTCTAAATAACAGGACCAATCCTCACACTATCTTCCCCAGCAAACGTCACCAGAACATGCAGCATATCCCGTATGATGCTCTGCAGTCTCTATTGCTCTGCTATGCTGAGAGCTAGAGTATGTTCATCTAAATACTATCTAACAAACCCTGAAGAGAGAAAGTTAAACATATTAACCCAGTAACATGAACTGTGGTTAAAATACTGTCACAGCAAACAACTTTCCTCTATCTAATTTATACAGACACACATCTGCCCCTGCCTTCTCATCTTCACTCACTCTTAGGATAATTTAGGTCTTGGCTGTACCAGGAGCGACTCCCCCTCCTTGTTGTTAGCGGCTTGGACCAATGCTGCTGTGAAGACTTTTTAGCTGCAAGCATAGGCAGGACCAATCCCTGGTCAGCACCAACAGCTGAGCCTGGCTTTGATCTCAGCTGTACATGCTTTGGTCTTTAAGGTACTTGCAATTAAGCCATTTTCAGTACTGGTTCAGGCAACACCCACTGCTCAGGTAAATGGGGTCGAGCTAAGCTGGCAGGATGGGGACTCTGGTACTTGGCTGGCCCCCATTACCATGTTATTGGAATACTTCACAATCTAGCATCCCTGGGAGGCAGGGCAGGGCTGTTCTCATTGTACAGATGGGGAAACTGAGGCACAGAGAGGGAGTGACTTGCTCAGGGTCACACAGGAAGATGATGGGAGAGCAGCAACTTGAACCCAGATCTCCCTAACCACTGGGCCATCCTATCTCTCACATAGAGAACCCACTTGCCCTGCAACTAACTGTGGGGGGCTCCATTCACCAGGGCTGCTGAGCCAACGCTTTTCAACATTATTAAACCCACACAGATTTTCCTTTTGAGCTGAAGTTTATGGTTATAAGCAAATTATTTGTGATTATGCAAATTAGGCTATTTGCATAAACATTACACAGAGGCTGCACAAAGCAGTGACGGAGAGAACTTAGAAACCAGGTGGTTTTGAATGGTTCTTTGCAAACCGCAGTTCACACACTGGGTTTTTTTTATTGCTACATATATCTGGGAGTGACTCATTCTCTCCGTTGGCTTGGTTCAAGATCTCTCAGCTGAACGAGTCAGCTGCAGGCCTGGCGGCCATCCCCGTTCTGTGTAACGTGTGCACCCATGACCCCACGATGGGAGAGTTTTTCTCACCAGTCATTGTGTTTGACTGAGGTAGTCTGAAATGCAGGTAACTGGCGGAGGAGTCAGCCTACCCCACCTAAAACCCCCTCTGCCGTGGGGAGAGGAGACCCTCTGAACGGACTGCCTTTTTCCTTAGTGCTCTGGGCATCAGCTAGCCTCGCCCCTTCGTGCAGAGCAGGATAGGGATGGGTGATAAAATCAGACTCCCTCATCTTTATCCCAAAGCCCCCTTTGCTCTATTTCTGAGGTGTCCGTAGCTGGGCTGGCTTCCTGGCCGCAGGAGGTGCTGCGCGGCCACCCGTTCTGGTGAGATTTCCCACTCTGCTCTGCACACTCATGGCCTTGGAGACGAACCCTGACTAGGGCTGTGTCATCCCCACTGAGCCACCTCCACCTTTTTGCGGGCTGCCTATCACCGCAGCAAGGGGGACTGTGATAGCTCCTGAGCTCCGGGGGGCACTGAGATCCCCCCGGGCTCTGGTCTGGGGTCATCTGATGCACTCAGGCATCGACTCAGTACATGCCTAACTCCAAGCATGTGAGTTGTCCCGTTGAAGCCAGTGGCAATGCTCCCCAGCTTGCAGTTCGGCGTGTGCTCCAGTACCTTGCTAACGGGCGAGGCACAGGACAAAGAGCCCCTCAGTGTCCCTGTCCCACCAAACGCCCTTCCCATAGGAGAGGAACCTGGAGCCAGGGCATAGCTTCTGGCGGCCCCCTGGGATGTGCTCCCCCCTCTCTCTGTGGCAGCAGCACTGACCATGGTGGCATTTCCGTTTTTCTCTCTGAAGGCCAGCACCTCAGCTTCCCTGCTGTGGCTCTCTGGGTGACTGTGGGACTCGCTATCTGCATCTTGGGGCTGCTGGGCGCCCTGGCTTACGTGTGCCGGAAGAAAATTCGCCAGAGCTGCAAGGAAGAGGAAGAGAATGCAGGTAAGGAACCCAGAGTCTGGCGCTCCCTCTCGTGTGTGTGTGTGGGGGGGGGGGGGGGGAGGGGGGGGGTGGAGGGGTGTGAATTCTCAGTCTGTCTGCTCTGAGCCCAGAGGTCCCGATTCAGGGTCGCACTTATGCATGGACTTGAGTCCCTCTGAATTCAATGGGCTCGGCGACTCCTCCGCTGGGGAGATGTGGACAGTTTCCGCTCCCTTTGCCCCAGCGTGCATGAAGCACTTTGGGATCCTTTGAGGAAGAAGATGCTGGGCACCTGGCAGATCTGATGCCCATCTCCCTGGCTGTGACTTCCCTGCTGAGGGCAGTGTAGATGTTGCTGGCCTGGGAGGAGCCGGTTATTCCAGATGTTATTGACTGGGTGGAGAAAACCTCCTGAACTATGGATTGCCACCACTGGCATGCACCTCCAAGGATGAACCCAGCTTCAGGGAGTTCGCCCTGCTGGGGGCAGCTGTAGGCGGTGGAGAATGCAGAATACACACAGTGCCGGGGGAAACTTCACCACTCAAAGGCCTTTACCTGTGTCAGTGAAGGGTGAAAGGCTCTGCTGAATGGTGAGAAGCTCTGTATGCTTGAGAGGATTGAGGGGTGTTAATGTGGCTTGGAGCAGAGCTGCGGGGGGCTTTGCTAAGTGAGAGGCAGTAGAGGCAAAATTCTCCCACCCTGCTTGATGGATGGTCGTAAGCAGCCAGCTCCACTATCCCCAGGCCTGTGACATGGCCAATGGGGAGGTACCAGCATGTGCATGTGCATGTGTGTTTCACTGCTGCCTGATCTCAGCAAGGCTCTGTCCAGGAACGTACCCCAAGGGCTCTCACTGCCCTCTGGGCGGGCAGGAGGTTTGCAGACAGCTTCCGGCAGGAGCCTGGGTTAGAGTGAATTTAGTGAACTTAACTGTGAGCAATATGGGGTGTAGGGGGTGGGAAGAACCTGTTCTGTGCAGGCTGGTGCTGCTCAAACTCGCACAGTGCACCTCCTGCCTGAGCCCTGGAACCCCACCCTCTCTGCCCTGGCCTGCACACCCCCTGCTGTTCCAGTGCTGGGGCCAGCGCGTCATAGCCCTGGCCCCTCTGCTGTGCCAGCCCGCTCAGCTGCGGCTGAAGGTTGGGGTGCACTGGCGGAGCTGGGTGTGGGAAGGTTGCCATAGCGCTGGCCTGCCTTGTACCTGACTCCATGGAGAGCTAATGGCCTATTGAGCTCCTGTGTGCCACCAGCACCCCCTAACTCATTTGAAATAGCCTATGGCATGTGCTCTGCTTTCCTTACCCCCCACAGGAGGGGCTAGTCTCCCCCTCTGGGGGACCCAGCTATGCCAAAGGGGTGCAGCCTCCCAACTCCAGTCCCGTTTGCTTTTGAAGTGTCTGTCTTCCCCCACCGGCACTGATTGCCTTTGCAATCACCATCGCCTCACAGTGGGGGAAGGAAACAATTGCAGATGAGCCGCATTCTGCCGAATCAACCCTCTGCTGGGCTGCACACCACCTGGGGGCAAGGGGTGAGAACGAGGCAGGCCAGTCCAACCACCCTGTGCCATCAATCAGCGGGAGGTGATGGAAGATCAAGGAGCCCATGTGTACGTGGGGATGGTTGTGGTGCCCGGTTTGTGTTGCAGGGGGTTGTCTGGTAGCCCTAGCCAATGTGTTGCCTGTGCTGATATTGCAGTACCATGGGATGGAGGCCCATAATACAGGAATGGGCCTGCCCACAACGCTCTGTGCCTTGTGTGTATCTGCTGCTCTCCGGACATGTGACTGCAGCATGTGTAGGGATACCCAAGCATGCTTTGATCAAAGCTCGGGGTCCTGCAGGGGAAGGGCTAATTCCAGCTGCCACAGCATCACTGCTGGATCAAAGCCAGCTTGGGTCTGTCTACGTGCGCCGCAATCACACATTTTGATTGCTGTCTAGACATACCCATTGAATGGCCAGGTGCAGTGCCCCCATGTGGCAGAGAAGAGAGGGGGCTCATTTGTACTGCTATTGAATTCAGGCTGCTCGACCCAGACAGGATCCTGTGGTTTGCAGAAGGGAGTGCTGGGGACTGCAGCACAGCAGGGGACTGAAACACCCGAGAATCCTGCCAGGCCTCCAAGGCACCAGGAGAGCAGGATGCTTACCTGGCGCAGACCCCTGCCTTCTCACAGTCAGGGACTGCATTGTGAGAGGGCCCCAGGCTTGCTGCCCTCCGTGTGGCCCAGACACAAGGCAATTGAATATGAAGTCTCCTGGCACTGACGAATGGCCCTTTCAATCAATAGCAATGGAGATGTTGCCAAGGTGCGGAGAAGTCTCAGGGTGAGCCCCTCTGCATGGCTCTCTGGCTTCCAAAAATGGCACCATGCCTCGGAAGTTAACACAGCCAGAATTTCCCTGGAAAGTAGCAGTGCTGGAGGGCTGCCATGTTTGAGTGGCTGCATCCCTACAGACCCCTGACTTGTTAGCGCAGCCACATGCATGCAGCATAGCAGACAGAACCCAGCACACTGGAGTGAAAACAGCTGCTGGCACTAGCAATAGGGCTTTTAGCTTCTTTAGGCCTCCAACCACTAGAGGGCAGTGGTAAATACACATACATTAACCAGCACTTTCAATAGCGGGTTTACCTACAACTCAGTGCCAGCTGGGTTATGGATAAATTCACAGCCTGTCGCAAAAAGGAGAGAGAGGGAAAAAAAAGAAACCAGGGATGGGAGGGGGGGAATTGCCCATCAATAAAACCTGTGAAAATGTTTAAATGTCAGTAAAAATTGGCAAAATAATCTAAGAATTCTTACCCCACCTCCTTAATCCTCTGCCATGAACTTAGCAGAGAACTAAATAAAGGCACAGAGAGTGGAAGCAAGGAGTGAGTTTCCCATGCTCCAGCACTGATTCCCTGCTCTAAATGGACCAGGGAAAATCACCCAGCAGTGATGGATTCTGTAAATGACACACTGGGTTCTTTAGAATGGGAGTTCAGGCTCTTGGGTGCTGGGCTCTGCACTTACTTGAGGTGAGCCTTAGGGAGGCAGTGTGGCCTAGTGGTTGGAGCACAGGACTAGGAAGACCTGGGTTCAGTTCGTACCTCTGTTACTGGTTAGTTGGGTGATCTTGGGCCAGTCACTTCACTTCCCCAGGCCTCAGTTTCCCCATCTGTAAAATGGAGATGATGATACTTCTTTGTAAAGTGCTACATGTAGAAAGTGTTTCCAGCTGTGAAATGGGGAAATGTGAAAAGTCCACACCTCCCAGCAGGGTTGGGAGGCATAACTCATGCCAGGGTTTTGAGATCCCTGGATGAAAGATGCTGGAAAAGGGGCAAACTAGTGTTCCCACCTCTACCAGAAGGCTGAATCAAAATGACTGAGAAGCAGGTTTCTGGGTTACATGGCTGGTTTTTCAGTCAAGACACATTTAGTGGTACTATATTTGTGGGGGCGGCTGGGTGAAAGCTTGCAATGCTGCTACTACAAAATGGGACCAAAGAAATTGGACTACAGGATTTAATCCCTTTTACTGCGATGCCCCAGTTAGCCCAAACTGGGTTCCTACGCTCTGGGGTCGTAATAGATGCACCAGGTATCTCTGCCCTCCCCAGCCATGTGCATTCCCAGAGTTTGGACGCACCCCATGCTGAGGAGGGGTCCTGTGTTGTCCACACGTGTCTGCCTAACCCCAGCTATGGGGCAAGGACCCAAGATAGCAGCAGCAGTCTATCCCCTTGGATGCCTTGGAATGGATGCGCCTGCTGCAAACATTATGCATCTTCTCCCTGGGGAGCAAACCGAGATGATCTGCCTGCGGGGGGTGGGGATCTTTGTTGTTGAGGTTTGCAGCTGACATTTTGGAAGCAGCGAGGTGGCGCCAGCCAAGAGGCAGATGCTCAGAACCTGCCTCTCAATCTGGTCTGACATTTCTCTTCCCAAGCGACTCCTCACCCCACCCCCGATGGAGGAGATGTGACTTGCAAAGTGACAGTTGGCCAAGTGCAAACACACACAGGATAGTACACACTCAGGATAGTTCGCACATGCGGGTGTTTCCTTTCTGCACCCCTCCCCATTCTCATCTGAGAAGACATCACTAGCATTTGCCACCATGGAAATGTCAAGCGCATAGACACAAGGAAATAGCATGAGATACAGATGCTATATGCTCTGCCTCTCATGTTCCTTTATCCCTGCCCGCGTGTGTTCAGCTTGGAAAGAATTAATTAAAGCCCTGCTGATGTCTCGCAGAAAGCACTTTGAAAGCCCCTGTTTGAAAAACCGTTCTCACCCTTGCTCTGTATTTTCTGCATCCTTGTCCTTTTCCCTGCTCTTTATTTCTGAAGGGCATTTGTATGAAAAGGGGATCTTTGTTCCTTTAAGTGCAGTTACACATTTAGAGTGGCTGTAAAACCAGCTTTGTTGGCATTCCGTACTTATTGTCTCCCACTGGTTCTCCCAATGGGCTTAATTTGCCAAGGCAAAAAAAGGTGGTTTTTTCTAGCTGCCACCACTGCAAACTCCACCCGGGCATGGGAAGTTTGGCTGGGTTCTTTCCTCCTCCTCCAACCTTGGAGCCAGAGATGAAGAAGATTCTACAGACGGAACTTGCTTCATGAGTCTGTTGTTGCACAAGCAGAATAGAATTCGGCTGGCTCTCCTGGTAGGTGGGCTGCTTCTACATGACTGATGAGAATGATTTTTGCCAGTGAAGTAAGCAAATCATGATGAACGGTCAAGAGAAGGTAGACAGGGATCATCTCCTACACAAGAACAAGGGGACAATCAATGAAATTGTTAATAGATTCCTAGGTCAGAAGGGATCATTAAGATCATCTAGTCAAATCTTCTGTGTAACACGGGTCACAGTTATTTTTCATTTCTGCTGCCCTGGGATTTAAACCCAGGACCTTTGCCGTAACCCTACACAACAGGGCCAGCCATTTTCTTAGCTTCTGTGGCAGATTAGGTGGGATTTGAACATGCCGCCACTAGCATACACAGCAAAAAATGTTTCATTGCTCCACCAAATTAAAAGGGCAAATTTATAACTGATAAAATGAAATCCTTTTTTCCACACAAATTTGACTGTATCGTTTGATTGTGGAACTCTCTGCCACATGAAATTGTTGAGGCCAAGATCTTAGCTTGTTTCTAAGAGACTGTTATGTCTACATGGATAACAAAAATATGCAAAGTTATCTTAGTTAATGCTAACAAATTTTGGAAGGGATAATACACCTGGTACTTCAGCCAGTTTCTCTCTGGTAGAGATCAGTGTAAATTGTAATGTGGGGGCAGATTATTTCACAGCTGTTGTGTGGGGTTCTTACCCCTTCCTCTGGAGCAGTTGGCCACTGTCGCAGACAGGATACTGGACCTCTGTTCTGATCCAGTCTGGCAATCCCAATGCTCCTAAGTGCAATAAGTGTAGGCAGGGCTGGCGCAACCCATTAGGCGACCTAGGCGGTCGCCTAGGGCACTACAATTTGGGGGACGGCGACCGCGGTGGTATTTCGGCGGCGGGACCTTCCGCCGCCTCAGTGGGGGGTGGCATTTCGGGGTGGGACCTTCCGCCTCCTAGGGCGGCAGAAAAGCTGGCGTTGCTCCTGAGTGTAGGTTGCCCTTGGGGGCCTGTTAACTTTGGTAGTGCCCCTTTAACGGTGCATTAGTCTCATGGAATAGACGTGGAGTTTGCTGGCCTGTTTGCTTGCTACATGAGCCTTCCAGGGCTGATGTGGGACCCTGGTGACGTTGCCATCTCGGCATGCCCCGTGCCATTTCAGCAGTCTGGCTGCTGGGGTGGGGCTGGGGGAGCGGCATGCCCTGCGAAGGACCCAGGGGAGGGAAGGAATGCGAGGGATGCTCTCTGGGACTTGTCAGGATGGATTCCTGCGGAGCAGCCGGGATACACGTCCAGGGTCTGTTCTGTTGAGGGCAGGTGCAATCCCATAGACACTCCGAGGGGTGTTACAAGTGGTGGGTCAGTCTTGAGTGTAGAATTTGCAGGGCCCTGCCAGGCAGCACCAAAGCAGGGTGATGTCACAGCTTGGTTGTGGCTTAGCAGCGTCAGCACAAAGCTGCGGAGCCAGGAGCTCCTGGGTTCTAGCTCAGTGTCTCTGATAAGGACTTTTCTGTGGCCGTGGGTGAGTCAGCTAGGAGACAGTCGTTATAGCGTGTCAGTAGCAGTGGCCGATCGCCCTGTGCGGAGGCAGTGTTACAGCAGGCTGTGCACATGTTGCAATGGCATGATTCAGTCCTGCCCTTACGGTGCCCCACAGGACAAATACTAAGGGCTGGAGACTGCACAGCCTAGTGTGACTGTCGTGTCCTGCTGCGGTAGGCTTGGAGTGAGGAGGATGAAGGTGGCATGCTGACCTCGTGGATCAGTGGATTCACATGCCACAGTGTGCATCATTCAGTGCATACATGACTGCTTATGCAACATGTGTTCATGTACCAGTATCTGCAGGCAGAAATGCGCATATGTGACGTGTGTTCCAGTATGTGCTCACGATGTGTTGGGTGCATGGAAACAGAAGGAGCATATCTTGGAGAGCAGATGCCAGCGATCGGAACTCTCCTGAGTCTAGGCCCCTTTGGAGCTCTCCAGACCTGTCCTCTCCCCAGGTCTCTGCTTGGGGATGCTGAGCCTTGTTAAGCCACTCAAAGAGCGCAGCTCCAGATGGCAGCTCTGCTATAAATAGGGGAGCTGGCGGCGGGAGAGCCTTTGTTTGGCAGCCAGGCGTCTGTGTCACGTCAGACTGATTGGTGGGTCTCCTCTGCACTCCAAGGAGAGGGGATCACACTTATTGGTTGCTGCTTCAGCCAAGGCCCAGCTCTGCACTGGGATGGGGAGAGGAATGGCCATAGCACCAAAGCATTGTGTAGACTGCTACAGTGCATAACAGCTAGGACAGGACAAGGGTCTGGGGCTGGGATCACAGGGTCCGCAGCCTGGGGCTGACTGACCAGCTGTCAGAGGCTAAAATTGCCTTCTCTGCAGGCTCCTCAAGGAGAGTCCTGTACACACAGCTGGTGTCTGCCCCGTCAGACAGACACAACCTGTAAACAGCCTCCCCCTTTCGTGTTAGCTGCTAATGAGCCATTATCCCCAGCAAGTTCCTGCCTGTCTCATCCGTATCAGAGAATGTACGCCCATCACTGTCACATATAAATGCTCCCCTCTCCCATTCCCACTGCAGGTACACAGGCTCCTGAGGGCTGGCATTGGGCTCTCCTCTGCTCAGTCCTTCCCGCTTCAGATAATGAGTGGGGGTCCAGGGCTGGGATAGCAAGAGGGGCTGTGGGCCAGGATTGAGGAGCATCAGCAAAGCTGTGGGGGCAGGGAAGGGCTGGGATAATAGGGCTGCAGGTTGGGACCTAGGGGAATCGGCAGGGCTGGAATAGGCAGAGGGCTGTGGGATGGGACAGGGGACCATCCGTAGAGCTGGTCTGAGACCCTCCCCTACCAACCCTTCCCCATTTGCTCAGTGATTTCTCTGCGCATCTCCGGAGGCTTCATGCACACATGGCTTTTGTTTTGCAGGGATGGAGGAGCAGAGTGAGGATGGTGGAGAACCCAAGACAGGTTGGTGAGATCTCAAAGCCCACATTTTGTGTAGATGAACAGGGTGGGGGCTGGGGCACTGAATTTCATGTTGTGGCTGGGATTGCTAAAGGAGAAACCAACGTGCATGCTGGGAAGGTAGGTCCTTGTGTTCCCACCCCAGCCTCTTGCATCAGTTCCAGGGGGCACCCCGTGGAGGGGGCTGGAATGGATGGTTGGGTCTGATTCCTTCCTGCACCTTCCCACTGGTTTCTGTGCTCCCTGGCTTGTTTCTTACTATCCACCTGCTTGGTCTTAACTAGGGTTGCCAGGCATTCGGTTTTCAACTAGAACACACAGTTGAAGATGGACCCTGGTCAGCACTGTGACTGGGCCACACACAGTTCTTGCTCTTAAACAGTGACCCTTGCTGGGTCGGCTGCACCCAGTGCTGACCCTGTGGTCAGCAGGAGGTAGTTTCTCTAGTGCAGATGAGACATGGTATGTTCTTGTATGAAACTCACAAGAGTATTAAGGGAAAAAGGAGCTGCCCAGCCCTGAATCAGAGAGTATGTCTGACCTGGAAGATGGAGCCGATGTGCCACAGCCTGGGTGTGCACACAACATATCGTGAGCACATACTGGAACACACATGTCACATATGCACAGTTCTGCCTCTATATACTGGTATATGCACACGTTGCATAAGCAAACAGTCATATATACATTGAATGATGCACGCTGTGGCATGTGAACCCACTGATGCACAAGCATGTGCATACACAGAATGGTGCACACTTGCATGTGCACACACTGATGCATGAGCATGCGCACAGTCCTGCATGAATATAAAGGCACACGCACACACATACACATGCTAATGCATGGGCATGTGCAGACAAACGTGCATGCATAGTGTCACACACTCTTCCATGTGCACGCATGGATACACAAGCATAAGAACACAGTTGTGCATCCATTTAAGAACCCATGCTCGCACATGTACACACTAATGCATGAGCATGTGCACACAGTTGTCAATGCATATTGCATACGTGCACACAGATACACTTGCACATGCACACACATTGCCAAGTATGTGCATACAGTTGTGCATGTTGCACACATGGACTGTTGAAAACGTACACACTGATGCAATGAAAATGCGCATAGTCTCACACAGAAGTGCACTGTCGTGTGCATAATCACACGCATGCCAACACAGCCAGTCTCATGTTGGCGCCTGTGCCATCTCGCACGACTCTTTGAGGCAGGCCAGCTGGCTGTCAGTGAACCCCTCCAAGCTGTGAGCAGACTGGCAGCTTCGCAGGGCTGAGATAAGCTGTGTTATCTTTTAATAAAAAGTGATAGTGGCGCTCTGCTGTAATCAAATGAGTTAATTATATGCCTGGTGATTCCCTTTATCTGCTCTGAGCACAACAATAGCTTTGGTGTATACAGATTGGCTTGCGCCTAATCTCTCCTTGGGAGAGAGCACGCTCCCACCGCAGGCTTCTTGATGTTTGTAGCTGCCTGTGAGATTTAAGGGCTGGGGCTTTGATTGGTGGTGGAAGTTGGCGAGTGTAATTACTGTGGAAGGCTGATAAATGCTATGAACTGTTAAATGGATTTTTCCCCTCTACCTTCATTAATGGTGGGAGATAAACAACGCTGCCTCCCCTCCTCCAGCCCAGTCCTTTCTCCTGACCCCCCCAAACCAACAGGAGATTGATTTCATATCTATACTGTAAATTTCAGCAATTAATTGCCAGAGCCTCAGTGCCAGAATTTGGAGGCTGAAGATGTGGCAACAGCCTGGCATTTGTCCTCATTTTTCATGTTGTGACAGTAGTTTCCATAGGGGGGATTTGTGTATGGGGAGATCGTAGTCAGAACGAAGCACCCTGTCCCTGCCTGATCAGGAAATTCACTTTTGTTAAGAGCTGATGCCAAGAGCTGCCCAGAGGAAGCCATGTGCAGGCTACAACCACTGCCAGTGTTTAGCAAACTCAGCTCTGTATCTTGAGCGCCATATCTATTAATGGCCTAGTTACTAGAGCATTCCTGAAACCACACTCAGGAGACGTTGCTCTCATTACAAATTACAGGGGGTGAGTGGAGGGGAAGGGAGATCTTGGATTTTACTATAATTAAAAGATACGGCTGGGTCTCTGTCCATTTCCTAATCATCCCCATCACAATACCACCACTAATAATTGGCACTGATAGGCCCCCTTGTTAGCAAACTAAATTAGAGAAGCCAACGACTGAGCAGACCAGGGATTCCAAACTCTCCACTCATGCCTAGGCTTGGTGTCTCCAGCATTGGACTCAGGTTCATAAAAGAGGGGCAGCTTGGGGGAATCTTGCATTGCTGTTGCCCCTTCTTTGGGTACGTAGAGAATGTGATCTCTAGGGCAGTCAGGCCGGGGGCTCTGCTCAGTGTCCCCCTCTGGGTCCCTTGTTTTGATTGTCTGACCTGTACTCAGTTGAGATCTGGGCTCTGCGGCCCCTCTCTCACCTGAGGGGGCGGGCTTTTGTTGTTCTCATGGGCTCTGCCCACTGACCTGGGATTCAGACAGGCAGGATCACAAACGGGGGGGAGCAGGCAAAGACAGTTTAAATCAGGTTGCTTGGCTCCTTGATCAGAGGCAGCTCAGATGCGGCAGTGAGTCCTGGGCAGGGCAGCCAGGGGCAGTGCAGAACCGGCTGGGCAGAGCTGCATCACTGGGGAGGAAGAGAAGGATCCATTTGGGTTGGAGGAGGGCTGGGAGGAAGAGCGTGTCCAGGGTGCCCTGACGAGTTGGTGGATCTGGGCCCAGTGTGGCTGACCGCTCTGCTGCTCGAATGCTCTGTTTGCTGCATGCTATGGTCCCAGGCCCAAATATGACAGAATTCTCTCTCTTCTCACCAACAGCTTTGCAACCTCTGAAGAGCACAGAGAACAAAGAAGGTAAAGAGCATTTCTTCTCTCCTTTTGCACTCGCATACAGGGTCTCTTGCAACAACTACACAGGCTGGCAGACCCACTGGCGTCTGTACCTTTAAACCTCTGAAACCAACCTGCTATTACAGCCAACTGGCTGTTTAGCCCAGCAGGGACACTTGGAGATCTGAACTGTAGATTATCTAAAAACAACAACCTAAAGCCTAATGCAGAACCACAACCATCTGTTGGATGCTTTGTGTATCTGGGATTTGGATGATTGTTTTCTGCCCACTCTTCTGATTTCTATATTTGCTCATCTCCATGGTGTTTGCAACTTCTCCCAGTTTGGTGTCAGCTGTGTATTTCATTAGCAGATCGGCAATGAAGGGGTTAAATTAGACCAGATTAGATTTGGAGGCCATAAACACATCCTCCAGAACAAATAAGTTGCTATTTAATTTTACCCTTTGTTTGTGGTTTCTTGGCCACTTTTCAGTTCACATCAATGATTTTATCCCAAGCCAATCAGTTTTTTTCTAGATACAATATTGTTAGGTAAAAAGCAAGTTCTTACTCACCTCTCCAGCACCCGAGTTCGTGCGGAGTTGGTATGGGCTCACAATTTGTCAGAGACCAGACACCAATTTATTGATTAACGGGCTCACACTATTCTTAGCTTAAAAGGCTTTAGAGTAATGTGGCAAGTTTATTAGGGGTGAGCATTAATATTTATACACAGAAGTAAACAAAGTGATTAGCAGATCATAATGGTCATGCATAATCAATCAAGATTCTACAGGATAAAACAGGTTAAAATGTAGATTCAAAAAGACAAAAGGGGAGATGGCTACTTAAGGGGAGGGGGGTGTCATGAGTAGTTCGCAGGTCAGAGCTTTGATTAAAAGTTCAGACAACCCAGACTTGATGTCTCTAAGTTTAAGCTCATCAAAAGTTCAGACTCAACATTCCTCCATTTGTAGCTTTGGGATAACTATTTACCAAAAGCTACACCCCATTTTAAGGAGCCAAGGGCCGCTTGGCAATTTTAGCCTGGGCCAACTCGAAGAGAGTAAGGCCCTTGGCTGAAGTAGGAAAAGAATAAACTGACCCACATGAGTCTATGAGGGAGGGGACACACTGAATACAGCAACACAGTATTATAAGGATTACTATGGCCCCAACAATACCCACCAAGAGTTTTTTAACCCACCCAAATTCAGGCAGCCAATTTTATAAGGCTCCCCACCAATTATAAGGTGGCTGGCCAGAGGAGTAGTTTTTAGCCATTTTCCTTAGATGTTTGGTACGTTGAAAAGTGTTAGAGTGGGTGTTATTTACAAAAACACAGCATTTTTTATTTATGAGGGCGCAAGTTTCTCCCTGGGCTGCTAACATTATGTTTAAAGCCATTTGGTTTTGCAAAGCTAACTGGCGCAGCTGGGACATTTTTCCGGCCTGATTTTCAAATAGGGTCGCAGTTTCATTGGTTAAAGATTTTAGTAGTCCCTGTAGACGGATGACACCACCCCTTAAGCAAATGAGACCAACCCACCGCTGCCACGACAAACCATCACGGATATTAATATCTCTGAAGTTTTCACGGATGTTACGAACGTGGGGAAAATGAAGGGGAGTGAGGGAGATGCGAGAAGGCGGTGTTAGCCACGCTAAATAACATGACCCTGCCCAATCAGGGGAGAGAAAGTAATAAGCTTTGGGCCCGCACACCCAGTATGTTCCATACAATGCGTTTCGGGTATTTCATTTCTCAAAGTAGGAGGTAACCCACCACCCGTTGGACCACTGTTCCCCTGGTAACGCAGAGGGGTCGTTGTGCGAACTGCAGAGGCACAATTTGGTAGTGGTGTTTTTAAAGGGCAGTGTAGTACTGCTTGAGCAGTTGTAGAAGGCAATCGTATATCCCTTAGCAATTAGTTGGACACCCTCGTGATCTGAGCAGGGCTTCTTAAAAGCTGACTTTGAAGGCTTGCCCACCCATGAAAAAGTTGGATCGGGGTGAGGGATCCACATATGGGATAAGTGGGATGCGCAAGGCTTGAAGCCAAGATTTTTACTAAAGGCGGTGCCATTAAAATACATGTTGCATTTACTTGTTTCCAC